AGAAGAAAGCTGAAAACAAAATTGGGAAATTGAAAGACAGGAAAATTGAGAAATATGAAAATTTAAAAAAGAAAATAGACGGAGTGAAAAATGAAGAAAGCTGAAATCAAAATTGGGAAATTGAAAAACACGAAGATTGAAAAATATGAAAATTTGAGAAAGAAAATAGACGGACTGAAAAATGTAGAAAGCTGAAATCAAAATTGGGAAATTGAAAGACTAAAAAGTGTATGAAAATTGAGAAAAAAAATAGACAGAGTGAAAAATGAAGAAAGCTGAAATCTAAATTGGGAAATTGAAAGGCCGAAAAGTATAAAAATTCAAGAAGCATATAGACGGAGTGAAAAATGAAGGAAGTTGAAATCAAAATTGGGAAATTGAAAGGTAGTAATACTGAAAAATATGAAAATTGATAAAGAAAATAATCAAAACTAGTGAAAAATGTAGAAAACTTAAATCTAAAATAGGCGGATTGATCAAAGATGAAAATTTAAAGATAAGTAATTTAGAAAATTATAATATAAAATGTGAAAAAGAAGAAATCTGAAAACCAAATTAAATAATTGAATGATAGGTAATTTATTTTGTTAATTTAAATATAGGAAGACAGAAGAATATGAATATATAAAGATATAAGAATTGAAAGAGAAAATAAGCAGACTGAAAAAGAAGAAAGCTGATAAAAACAAATTGGTGAACTGATAGATTGGAAGAAACCAAATTGGAAAATTGAATCATAGGTAAACTGAGAAATTTGAAAATTGAAAAATAAAATAATCGGACTGAAAAAAATAAGAAAGTTGAAAACTAAATTGGAAAAGTGAAAGGTACGAAAATTGAAAAATATGAAAATTGTAATACAAAAATATGGAAATAAAAGGATAACTTGAAAGAATATGTGAAATCTATAGGAAAATAACGAGAGGAAAGAAAAAAGGAAGATAAAAAGTTATAAAAATGTAAAAAGACAATAAAATAGTTAGATTTTCTTTATAAACTAATAAACTTAATAAAATGAAAGTTGTAAAATAAACAACATAGAAAAGAAAAAAAGAAAATAAAAACAGAATTCCTCAAATAATTTGCAATTTCAAACAAATACAGAGCTTTTTATTACCGACGCCTTTCGTGCCTTTCCAAAATTCTAGTTCAAATAGTCGTCTATTTTTTTTTTGCTTCTTAACTTCTCTTTTCCATCTTCATCTCGATTCTTAAATAAACCGCCTACGAAACATGTATATTTACTTCGCGAATGTAAAATATCGTAAAACGTAACGTAATATCGGCGAGGCAATCATCGGTCGACATATAGTAAAATCGTAAAGTTTTACTAAAATTCATTAACATTTCTGCACGATCACTATTTCCATCTATTCCGTATTAGAAAAAAACCCTACAAAAACATATAAAAATCATTTAATAACGTGAAAAATATATTTTAGTTTTTAAGATAATTCTTATGACAATTTCATAAAATCTGCTACAATCATCTTCTGATATAAAATTTTGTCTTCTTTCGTAAACGTAATAAGAAACGCACTTTACATTCAATTGATGGTAAAATTCAACGCATTTTCAAATTGGATTTATGTGTTATTTGTATAACACGTGCATGCAATAAACATACAAAACAAACAACAACTTCTTACGTAGGTGATTGCAATTAATGTATCGAATTGCTGCGGTTAAATGTAACAACAATGCGTATATGAAAAAAAACGAGATAAATCTGTTATGTAAACCGAACACGTGTTACGCAACGGGTCTATATTGCAAGCCCGACAACCGAAGGACCGTCTATTGAAATCCTGACGATCAAAATCCCGACTACCATAATCCCGATTATATCGAAATCCCGACTACCATAAACATGTTATTGTATACATTTATAATAATAAAAGACACTGTCGGTATTTTGATATAGTCGGGATTTTGATTGTCGGGATTGTAGTAGTTGGGATTTTGACATAGGCTTGCGATTGCCACCGTTACGCAACGAATGTAGTAAATAAGGAACGATTAAAATATTTGAATATATAGGCAACACAATTTACACCCATTATCATTTAAATTGTTATTGATTGTCATTGAACATTAACATATTTTAGTTATATTATTGATTAACGTGTAAATTTAGATACAATTTTGTTTTTTTTTTCACTTAAATATTTTTGTATGTCAAAAATTATTTGTATTAATAACTGAAATAATTTAATTTTGTTTATTTTTTGTTGTTGTTGTCATGGTTATGTAAAAACTAGTGTAGTGTCAACCATGGAAATCTAAGGTAACTATAGAATATTTAGACCGAGATTTCAGGTATTTGAAGCAACTTTTTCAAAATTTTCAGAAAATGAAAAAAAAAACAAAATTATAATTATTAAATTAATTTATTTATTAAATATATTTACAATAAATACAAAATACACAAATTAATACAAACAACTTTAATTGAATCCAAAAAACGTTATCATTAACTTTGTTATTATCAACTCAAGTATTTTGAATTCACTTATTCAATCTTTGAACTTCGATAGACGTTTTTCTGCTTTGCTGAAAGATAATTTTCATGCATCCTCATTTATCGCAAATATCCACAATCATTGAATTAAACTATAATTGAAAATAACATTACAGAGTTTGTTTATTCAAAACATATAATTACTGCACTGAAAGTTCATTATACTGGAAAATACCTCTCATAGTGCGGATAATCAGTTTTAAACCGCACTAATCGAGGACCGTATTAAAATAAACAGCACAAAAAGAGATTTGACACAAAATTATTTTATGTTCCAATTTTTTAGAATTAATTTTTGTTTTGTTTATTTTTTTAATTTTCATACCGTACTATGTGAATCCGCAATATTCGAGGTTTTTTTTTTCATATTATGTATCATAATTTATTTACAGTCAATAAAATAACAAATTGTTTACAAAAAAAACACAAAACTATGTGAAACAAAAATCAGATTATGAGTGAAAAATGATTAATTAATGTAGACATAAATCAAAATTAAGATTAGTATGTCTACATTGTTTACATTAGATTATTTTAGTAACACAAACTTGAAGGATGCAATAAAACGCTGATTTTTTTTTATAATGCGATGTGAATTACAGTCATTCTGTATCAAATGATGATTTGTAAATTTAAAGTAGGTCAAAAGATTATGACACGCAAAGAAGATTATGTAAATTTGCACAGAGATTGAATAATTTTACCTGAAATAAAATAAATGTAAATTTGAAAATAACTGAAGAAGATTAATTTCTAATTTATAAAGTTTCACTTAAAACTATTTCCATTTATTAAATTTAATTGTAAAAAGAAACAAACTTGAAACGTAAATGTAGCACAAATTATTAATTTTATGTAACACCTGCATAAACACTTGCTTTTTAATTGAACACCTGCGTGAACACCTGAGTTTTAATTGAACACCTGCGTTATAATTGAACACCTGCGTTATAATTGAACACCTGCACTTTCATTGAACACCTGCGTTTTCATTGAACACCTGCATGAACATCTGCGTTTTAATTAAAGATCTGCGTGAACACCTGCGTTTTCATTGAACACCTGCACGAACATCTGCGTTTTAATTGAAGATCTGCGTGAACACCTGCGTTTTCATTGAACACATGCATGAACATCTGCGTTTTAATTGAACACCTGCGTTTTCATTAAACACCTGCGTTTTTATTAAACACTTGCGTTTTAATTGTACATAAGTGAAATTAATTTGCTTAATATACAATAGGAATAGATTTGAAATAAATATTAAAGTTTTGTTTAATATTGTTGTTGAAAACTTTATAAATCTTCTCCACTTTTCTCAATAAAACTGCAAGAAAACATAAATAAATAAAGGAAACTACAAGATTTTTTTGTTAATTAATATCAATGTAAAATTTCAATATAAACTTTTGTGATTTGTGTATGCATTAAAAGCAATTACATTAATTTTGATATAATTTTTCTTTAACGCACATTTTTTGTTGCAAATTATCGAAACTGATCACAATTAGTTTTATTTATGTAATAAAAGTAGTTTAATATTAATATATGACTCACCTTTATTTAATTGAATAAACGAATAAACATTGTAATAAACTCTTTAGAAATTAGTTAAGATTTCATCACAGTTTTGAATGAATACGTCTGAATTTCTAAAAATTATTTGTATTAATACCTGAAATAATTTAATTTTATTTATTTTTTGTTGTTATTGTCATGGTTATGTAAAAAATGGTGTAGTGTCAATTATTAAAATCTAAGGTAACTATAGAATCTTTAGACCGAAATTTCAGGTATTTGAAGCAACTTTTCAAAATTTTCAGAAAATGAAAAAGAAAACAAAAATATAATTATTAAATTTATTTATTTATTAAATATATTTACAATAAATACAAAATACACAAATTAATAGAAACAACTTATAAATCTTCTCCACTTTTCTCAATAAAACTGCAAGAAAACATAAATAAATAACGGAAACTACAAGATTTTTTTGTTAATTAATATCAATGTAAAATTTCAATATTTCAATATAAACTTTTGTGATTTGTGTACGCATTAAAAGCAATTACATTAATTTTGATATACTTTTTCTTTAACGCACATTTTTTGTTGCAAATTACCGAAACTGATCACAATTAGTTTTATTTATGTAATAAAAGTAGTTTAATATTAATAAATGACTCACCTTTATTTAATTGAATAAACATTGTAATAAACTCTTTAGAAATTAGTTAAGATTTCATCACAGTTTTGAATGAATGCGTCTGAATTTCTAAAAACACCCATTGCACATTTCGAACGCTTGCGGAAAAAAAAATTGAGTCAAGTTGCGAACGTGCCGCTAACTATCATAACAAGATGATAATTGAGTTTCCAAATAGTGAAGTGACTTCTTCACCTCCTTACTTATCAGGCGAGGACCGAATGGAGAGAGAGAGAAAGAGGATGTTCTGATAAGGATTGGGAATTTAAAGTACGATTCACGAATTCTCATTTTCATTCCCATCGAAAATGTTCCTCGCGTTGGTTTTCGTGGCTGTACTGCTGCTCTTCCTCTACTTGAAGTACTATGTCACCTTCAATTACTGGCAGCGAAGAGGCGTCAAGTTCGAGAAGACGCATTCGATTTTCGGCAACATAGGTAAAAACATTCTTCAGCGCCAATCCATGGCTGATCTGATTGCGAACATCTACAAGAAACATTCGGAAGAACCGTGAGTTTATTCAATTGTTTTAAACTTAGTTCAATTGGTTTTTTTCTTTTGAAGATACTTCGGAATCTTCACGTTCATGAACCCGACTTTGGTGGTGAAAGACCCGGAGATCATCAAGGAAATCGCAGTGAAGAATATCGATAACTTCATCACGCACAAGTTGTTCTCTAGTGGTGATGGGTCTCACGTCTTCAGCAAGAATCTGTTCGCTACTTCTGGTACGCTTCAATCAATTGAATTGAAGATGAGAGGTAATTTGAGGTTTTTTTTTTCAGGATCCATATGGAGGAACACAAGACCTTCTTTATCTCCCGCTTTTACTGGTAGCAAAATGAGGGCTATGTACGATTTGGTAAACGAATGCTCGATGCAATGGTTCAAGACTTTCGAAGCCAAAAACGAAGAGACTATTCTCGTCAATCTCAAAGAGGACATCATCATCAGATTCACCATAGACGTTATATCCACGTGCATCTTCGGATTGAAGAGCAATTCTTTCGAGGACAAAAACAACGAGTTCTTCAAACGCGCCCATTCCGTCGGAGATTTTGGTGGCAACAAGATCTTCGCCCTCTTCGGTTACTGCATTCCTCAATTCATCGTCAAAGTGAGTCCTCGATTAGCCGAAATCAACAAATTGGTAATTGCTTAAACTGTTAGATGTTCGATTTGAGGATTGTGCCGAACGATGATCAAGAGTTCTTCGAGCGCGTCGTCATGGAAACCATCAAGATGCGTGTCCAAAACAACATAGTTCGTCCGGATATGATCAATCTGCTGATGGACTCGAGGAAAGGAAAACTGACGCACGACACTGACGGAGATTTAAACGATACCGGTTTCGCTACCATCGAGGAATCGAGTTTGGGAAAATCCAAAGTCAACGGTGAGATGGCCGACGATGAGATCGTCGGTCACAGCTTGCTCTTCCTCATCGCCGGATCCGATACCACAGCTTGCGGTTTGACCTTCCTCATTTACGAGTTGGCTTTGCATTCCGACATCCAACAAAGGCTTTACGAAGAAATCGCCGAGTACTTAGAGGAGGGTAAAGGTAAAATCTCGTACGAGAACATCCTGAAAATGAAGTACCTGGATATGGTTTGCTCAGGTAAGCGATTGAATACACAATCAAATGATGTTTTTTTTGATAATTCAAACAATTCTTTGTTAGAAACCTTGAGGAAGTGGCCTCCACTACCTGTGACGGACAGATGCACCTCGAGACCATACGAAATCAAGAGCGAAAACAAGAAATCTTTGCGTCTGGAATCGGGAACGGTTGTGTGGTTCCCGGTTTTCAGCATTCACAGGGATCCGAAATACTACGAAGATCCTGAAAGGTTCGATCCGGAACGTTTCAGTGATGAGAACAAAGACAAGATCAACAAAGACGCGTACCTTCCTTTCGGCGTTGGACCGAGAGCATGCATTGGTAAAGGATAACGATTAATTAACAAATTATTAGATTACTATTTAATTGTTGATTTAGGTTCAAGATTGGCGATGCTCATGTTCAAATCCATTCTTGTGCATATATTGAACAACTTTGAAGTGGTGCCAGTTGAGAAGACTCCAATTCCATTAGAATTAAGCAAGAAACATATATTTTTAAATCCGAACAGTCCCGTTTGGCTAGGCCTAAAGCGAAGGACTCATTAAGATAGACTCGAGCCGCGCATATCTTATGCAATTAATCCTAATCATCCACTCTAAATCATTTTCTATTCTTAGGTAAAACTCACTCTAAATAAATATTTAAAACTTACAGCGCTTCGCGTTTCATTTGATCCACAACTAGATAAACCTTAACATAACAAAATAAGACTTTCACCTCCTAAAATAAACGAAAAGTTTATTTATGAACAACTCTGACTGTTTTCTTTCAATACAAATAACACACTTTAAAACTGCACTAAATGAGACTTAACTATTTAAAGAAGAAAAAAACTATCATATAAAAAATTTACTACATTTTTAATTTATTTTAATTTTTCTCAATTAAAAATTAGTTTTTTCTTTGAAAATTTTCAATTCGCACTATAGAGAATTCGCATTGATCGAAGCCGCACTATTCGATGTATTTCTATATTGTAATATAATATTGAGAAATGCAGTTGAGGATACAGGTGAGATTTCAGGTAAAATTAGTTTATTTTGATTAACTTTCAAACCGCACTAATGGAAGCCGCACTATTCGAGGTATTTCTGTATTGTAATTCTATATTGAAAATTACAGTTTTGTAGACATTTTTGTGAAAGAAAATGTAAGAAATAATTCTTTGTAATCTTCAGTGTTCGTTTTTTTTTGTAAGATGAGATTTCAGGTAAACATTTGCAATTTCATAAAGTATTTATAATTTAGTTTGTTTTGATTCATTTTCAAACCGTACTATAGAGTATCCGCACTAATCGAAGCCGCACTATTCGAAGTATTTCTGTATTGTAATTCTATATTTAAAGTTACAGTTTTGTAGAAATTATTGTATAACAAAATGTAAGAAATAAATCTTTGTAATCTTCAGTGTTCGTTTATATTTTGTAAGGTGAGATTTCAGGTAAACATTTGCAATTTCATAAAGTATACGAAACCGCACTATTCGAGGTATTTCTGTATTATAATTCTATATAAAAAAATACAGTTTTGTAGAAATTCATGCATAAGAAAATATAAGAAACAAATCTTTGTAATCTTCAGTGTTCGTTTATATTTTGTAAGGTAAGATTTCAGACAATTTCATGAAGCATTTGTAAAATTAGTATGTTTTGATAAATTTTCAAACCGTACTATAGCGAATCCACACTATTCGAAGCCGCACTATTCGAGGTATTACTATATTGTAGTTCTATATTGAAAATTACAGTATTTAGAAATTATTGCAAAAAAAATATGTAAGAAATAATTCTTTGTAATCTTCAGTGTTTGTTTATAGTTTATAAGGTAAGAGTTTAGGTAAACATGTGCAATTTCATAAAGCATTTGTAGAATTAGTTTGTTTTGATTAATTTTCAAACCACACTATAGTGAATCCACACTATTCGAAGCCACATTATTCGAGGTATTCCTGTATTGTAATTCTATATTGAAAATTACAGTTTTGTAGAAATTCATGTATAAGAAAATGTAAGAAATAAATCTTTGTGATCTTGTAAGGTGAGATTTCAGGTAAACATTTGCAATTTCATAAAGCATTTGTAAAATTAGTATATTTTGATTAACTTTCAAACTGTACTATCTCGAATACGCACTGATTGAAGCCGCACTATTCGAGGTATTTCTGTATTATAATTCTATATGGGAAAATACAGTTTTGTAGAAATTATTGTAAAAGAAAATGTAAGAAATAATTCTTTGTAATCTTCAGTATTCGTTTTTTTTTGGTAAGGTGAGATTCCAGGTAAACATTTGCAATTTGATAAAGTATTTATAAAATTAGTTTGTTTTGATTAATTTTCAAACCGCACTATAGTGAATCCACACTATTCGAAGCCACATTATTCGAGGTATTCCTGTATTGTAATTCTATATTGAAAATTACAGTTTTGTAGAAATTCATGTATAAGAAAATGTAAGAAATAAATCTTTGTAATATTCAGAGTTCGTTTTTATTTTGTAACGTGAGATTTCAGGTAAAATTAGTTTGTTTTGATTAACTTTCAAACAGCACTATAGCGAATCCGCACTATTCGAAGCCACACTATTCGAGGTATTTCTGTATTGTAATTTTATATTTAAAATTACAGTTTTGTAGAAATTCATGTATAAGAAAATGTAAGAAATAAATCTTTGTAAACTTGTAAGGTGAGATTTCAGGTAAACATTTGCAATTTCATGTTTTGATAAATTTTCAAAATGCACTATAAGGAATACGCACTGATAGAAACCACACTATTCGAAGTATTTTTGTATTATATATAATGGAAAAATACAGTTTTGTAGAATTTTTTTTAAAAGAAAATGTAAGAAATAAATCTTTGTAATCTTCACTGTTCTTTTTTATTTTGTAAGGTGAGATTTCAGGTAAACATTTGCAATTTTATAAAGCATTTGTAAAATTAGTATGTTTTGATACATTTTCAAACCGCACTATAGCGAATACGCACTGATCGAAGCCGCACTATTCGAGGTATTTCTGTATTGTAATTCTATATTGAAAATTACAGTTTTGTAGAAATTATTGTATAAGAAAATATAAGAAATAAATCTTTGTAATCTTCAGTGTTCGTTTTTATTTTGTAAGGTAAGATTTCAGGCAATTTCATAAAGCATTTGTAAAATTAGTATGTTTTGATAAATTTTCAAACCGCACTATAGCGAATACGCACTGAAGGAAGCCGCACTATTCGAGGTATTTCTGTATTATAATTCTATATGGAAAAATACAGTTTTGTAGAAATTCATGCAAAGAAAATATAAGAAATAAATCTTTGTAATCTTCAGTGTTCGTTTTTATTTTATAAGGTAAGATTTCAGGCAATTTAATGAAGCATTTGTAAAATTAGTATGTTTTGATAAATTTTCTAACCGCACTATAGCGAATTCACATTATTGGAAGTCGTACTATTCGAGGTATTTCTGTATTGTAGTTCTATATTAAAAATTACAGTTTTGAAGAAATTATTGCAAAAGAAAATGTAAGAAATAAATCTTTGTAATCTTCAGTGTTCGTTTATATTTTGTAAGCTAAGAGTTCAGGTAAACATGTGCAATTTCATAAAGCATTTGCAGAATTAGTATGTTTTGATAAATTTTCAAACCGTACTATAGCGAATACGCACTTATCGAAGCCGCACTATTTGAGGTATTCCTGAATTGTAATTTTATATTGAAAATTACTGTTTCGAAATAAATCTTTGTAATATTCAGAGTTCGTTTTTATTTTGTAACGTGAAATTTCAGGTAAAATTAGTTTGTTTTGATTAATTTTCAAACCGCACTATAGCGTATCCACACTATTCGAAGCCACATTATTCGAGATATTTCTGTATTGCAATTTTATATTTAAAATTACAGTTTTGTAGAAATTCATGTATAAGAAAATGTAAGAAACAAATCTTTGTGATGTTGTAAGGTGAGATTTCAGGTAAACATTTGCAATTTCATAAAGCATTTGTAAAATTAGTTTGTTTTGATAAATTTTTAAACCGCACTATAGCGAATACGCACTAATCTAAACCGCACTATTCGAGGTATTTCTGTATTATAATTCTATATGAAAAAATACAGTTTTGTAGAAATTCATGCATAAGAAAATATAAGAAATAAATCTTTGTAATCTTCAGTGTTCGTTTTTATTTTGTAAGGTGAGATTTCAGGTAAACATTTGCAATTTCATAAAGTATTTATAAAATTAGTTTGTTATGATTAATTTTCAAACCGCACTATAGCGAATCCACACTATTCGATGCATTTCTGTATTATAATTCTATATAGAAAAATACAGTTTTGTAGAAATTTTTGTAAAAGAAAATATAAGAAATAAATCTTTGTAATCTTCAGTGTTCGTTTTTTTGTAAGGTCAGATTTCAGGTAAACATTTGCAATTTTATAAAGTATTTATAAAATTAGTTTGTTTTGATTCATTTTCAAACCGTACTATAGCGAATCCGCACTAATCGAAGCCGCACTATTCGAGGTGTTCCTGTATTGTAATTCTATATTGAAAATTACAGTTTTGTAGAAATTCTTGTAAAAGAAAATGTAAGAAATAATTCTTTGTAATCTTCAGTGTTCGTTTTTTTTTGGTAAGGTAAAAGTTCAGGTAAACATGTGCAATTTCATAAAGCATTTTTAGAATTAGTATGTTTTGATAAATTTTCAAACCGTACTATAGCGAATACGCACTTATCGAAGCCGCACTATTTGAGGTATTCCTGTATTGTAATTTTATATTGAAAATTACAGTTTTGAAGAAATTGTTGTATAACAAAAAGGAAGAAATAAATCTTTATAATATTCAGAATTCCTTTTTATTTTGTAAAGTGAGATTTCAGGTAAAAATAGTTTGTTTTGATTAACTTTCAAACCGCACTATAGCGAATCCACACTATTCGAAGCCACACTATTCGAGGTATTCCTGTATTGTAATTCTATATTGAAAACTACAGTTTTGTAGAAATTCATGTATAAGAAAATGTAAGAAATAAATCTTTGTGATCTTGTAAGGTGAGATTTCAGATAAACATTTGCAATTTCATAAAGCATTTGTAAAATAAGTATGTTTTTTAAATTTTCAAACCGCACTATAGCGATTCCACACTATTTGAAGCCGCACTATTCGAGGTATTTCTTTAATTATAATTTTATATGGAAAAATAGCGTTTTGTAGAAATTCATGTATACGAAAATATAAGAAATAAATCTTTATAATCTTCAGTGTTCGTTTTTTTTTGTAAGGTGAGATTTCAAGTAAACATGTGCATTTTCATAAAGCATTTGTAAAATTAGTATGTTTTGATAAATTTTCAAACCGCACTATAGCGAATCAACACTATTCGAAGCCGCACTATTCGAGATATTTCTGTATTGTAATTCTATATTGAAAATTACAGTTTTGTAGAAATTCATAAATCTTTGTAATCTTTAGTGTTCGTTTTTTTTTGATAAGGTGAGGTTTCAAGTAAACATATGCAATTTTAGAAAACATTTGTAAAATTAGTATGTTTTGATTAACTTTCAAACTGTACAATAACAAATACGCAATGATCGAAGCCGCACTATTCGAGTTATTTATGTATTATAATTCTATATGGAAAAATACATTTTTG